GGTAGGAATAAGAGATCCTCCAGAAAAGGGCTTTATTCCGGAGGATCGCGCCAGTCTAGACGCTTTTTTCCGGCTTTTCCCCAAGCCGGAAAAAAAGCGGCGGACATGTTTATTTAAATCCGCGGGGGATATTTAAATGCCCCGCGGATCTCCCTATTCTGACTTACCTGCTTTGCATCCCTTTTCCGGAATTTGGGGCCAGTGTAGACATAGCCAAGGTGTTGCTTAAAAGTTATTTAGTGATTTTGGTACAAATTTGTGGGTACACTGGGTCATAGGAAAATAAATCCATAATGACTAACTGTCAGTCATGTATTTCAGTGCAAGTCTGAGACTACACTTGGAAGAGAGGATGAATTATTCTCTTCTGTACTTTGACTTATTCTCTTCTGTACTTAATTTCTTACAATTTCATTAATGTGAGTTGCAAGGGAGGGTTCTATTTCATTGTGCTGATAGTTCCCGGTTTCCTTGTAGGATTTTAGGTGATGGCTCTGCAACCATTGTGCAGAGTGCAGTTAGTGGTAAAACAGCTGGGCAGACAGGCTTCCACAGAGTATTCTTTGTAAAGGACCTCTGACACCAATTTATACTGGTATAGGCAGCTCCCTGGAGGACGGATCCACATGCTTGCCTACTCAGAAAGCAGCAATCAAGTTAGTAGATGATTCTGGTCCTAGTCACTTCATAGCAAGCTGACCCAAGGATGAGGAGATCCTCCAGAACACGGATGGCCTTTATGCCAATGGAACAAGAATGTATTACTTTGCGTGTAGATAACACAAGGCTAAGTGTAGCACCCAGATAAAGCTCACCCTCTTCCCCATGTACATAAAGAAGATTGCAAAGCTGGATAGGGACACAGCTTTGGGGTATCAGTTCTGTCAATAAAAATCACAGGAAATAGAAGCAACAACAGACATGTGCTGACTGATCAGTGAAAACACATAACACCTCACCAAACTTTTCAGCAGCAAATCTTCTGGTAACAGAATTGCCACAGTAGATTCCTTTGAAATCAAAGAATGAGAAAAATTATTTTGACAAAAGGAGAAGTGGGGTTCCCTGAGGGGCATAACTGATTTAAAGAAGCAAAGAAATTACAGGCAGAACAGCAAGATTAATATTTGATAATTAATACTATATATTACTCCATAAAAGAGAGGCTACATTTTTTAATAATTTAAAACTATGCTGAACAGAGCCCAGAGAAGTAAGCTCTATGGCTGCTATACTCAAACTAATACTGTTCTGTACATAGAATCACAGAATAATAGAATATTAGAAATGGAAGGGATCTGGAGAGATGGCAGGACCAAGCACTGTCTAGATCATCCCTGATAGGTGTCTGTCCAACCTGCTCTTAACTAACTCCAGTGATGGAGATTTCACAACCTCCATAGATAATTTATTCCAGTGTTTAACCACCCCAACAGTTAGGAAATTTTTCCTAATGTCCAGCCTAAACACCCCTTGCTGCAATTTAAGCCCGTTGCTTCTTGTCATGGAGTCATAGAATCATAGGGTAGGAAGAGACCTAAGGGGTCATTAAGTCCAAGCCCCTGCCCAAAGCAGAGCGAACCCCAACTAAATCAACCCAGCTAGGGCTTTGTCAAGCGGAGATTTAAAAACCTCTAGGGATGGAGATTCCACCACCTCCCTCGGTAACCCATTCCAGTGCCTCACCACCCTCCTAGGGAAATAGTTTTTCCAAAATCCAAGTTAGACCTCCCCCTTTGTAACTTGCTCCTTGAACCCATTGAGCCTTGTTCTGCCATCCATCACTACTGAGAACAGCCTCGCTCCATCCTCTTTGAAACCTCCAAAGGGATGGCTCAGTGGTTTGAACATTGGCCTGGTAAATGCAGGAGTTGTAAATTCAATCCTTTCAGAGGCCATTTGGGGCAAAAATTTGTCAGGGATGGTACTTGGTCCTGCTGTGAAGGCAGGGGACTGGACTCAACGACCTTTCAAGGTCCCTTCCAGTTCTAGGAGATAGGCAATCTCCCTTCAGGAAGTTGAAAGTTGCTATCAACTCACTCTGCTCTTCTGCAGACTAAACAAGCCCAAATACATCAGCCTATCCTCGTAGGTCATTTGCTCCAGCCCCCTAATAAACTTTCGTTTCCTTCTGCTGGACCCTCTCCAATGTGTCCACATCCTTTCTGTAAAGGGGGCCCCAGAATTGGACTCAAAACTCCAGATGTGGTCTCACCACTGACAAATAAAGAGGAATAATTGCTTCTCTAGATCTGCTGGCAATGCTCCTCCTAATGCACCGCAATATGCCATTAGCCTTCTTGGCTACAAGGGCACACTGTTGTCAGAGGCCAAGGAGAACATTTTTTCTCCCTCATTCTTGTAACACACAAAATCACCACAAAATCAGATGAGGATTGAAGGTACTCCGCCAGGTTTATTGCCAAATGGAATATGATAATAGTTGTCAGTGGACAGACTTGCCACTGCACCACTATGCATATGTACCCCCTGTCAATGGACTCAGCTTAGACTATACTATGGATTCCAGTATTGCCTCCTTGGCTGGACAAAGATCGCACTTTTACACCCAAGTACAAACAAGTTACATGTCCTCATTGCCAACCTCTGATGTTACCTAGATCCACCCATTACCTTATACATGGGGGTTTGATCACTATCTATCATGCTGTCAGTTTCGACTCTGTCCTGAACCCAGGCCGGTAAGTTACTCGTGTATCACAGGCTGGGTATGAGGCCTGAGGCCTAGACAGCAATGGTTAAGACTTTGCTAATATAAAGTAGAGTTAAGCTGTGAGCAAGAGGCAGGCCCCTGCTGACCAAACTTGGCAAGAACAGGGCTGATATAACAGAACACTCTTACCTGAGAGTATGTGTACACTAGCCACCCTAGTTCGAACTAGGGTGGCTAGTGTACACATACTCTCAGGTAAGAGTGTTCTGTTATATCAGCCCTGTTCTTGCCAAGTTTGGTCAGCAGGGGCCTGCCTCTTGCTCACAGCTTAACTCTACTTTATATTAGCAAAGTCTTAACCATTGCTGTCTAGGCCTCAGGCCTCATACCCAGCCTGTGATACACGAGCTTATGTTTAGAGCCTCATCTTACTAGGATTACCAGGCAGTCTCACACCTTGCTTAATGTGATGGGGGAGGTTTCTGGTTACAGTGCTCCATTTTTTACCTATTTTGTGACTTTATATCTTTTGGGACTACATCTCCTCCTGTTGCCTGCAGCTCCTTCTGCTGTACTGATCACCATAGTTTTGGTTCTGTTCTGGGGGCTGTTTGCTGACATGCTGATTTCAGTGTTTTATATTACACAAATTTGATCATAGCTGAGTTGACATCAAAGAAAATCTCAACAAGGAAAGGCATGAAGCAGCAACACGGGGTTCGATACAATTATTTTTTAAAGTAGTGAGAAAACATTTGTAAATGCTAGCAACTAGCAAGAGTGACTACCTGAAAGGCACAGAGAGGTAGCCATGTTAGTTTGAGCTTGGTAAAACAAAAAAGCAGTTGTGTAGCATTAAAGACTAACAAAATAGTTTATTAGGTGGTGAGCTTTCGAAAGCAGTGTTACCAGGTAAAACAGTATTTTTCAAAGTGGTCTGTGAAGCCACTTTGACAAACCTGCTAACTGGCTGGTTCCCTGTGGTCTT